CTTTGGGGGACAGTATGTGCAGCTGAATAACCGCTCCGGGGAGCTGCACACCTCAGCCATGGAGATTGACCGGGAAGCTCTGTGCGTGGATAGTGGTGGTGCGGCCGTCTTCGGGGGACCAGCTGCGGTCTCCTCTTCCTCACCCTCATCCGAGTCATGCCTGTTGCTGCTGGATGTGCTGGTGCTGCCACAGGAGTACTTCCGCCTGGTGAAGGTAAAAATTGCTATCCGGGACGTCAATGACAATGCACCCCGCTTCCCTGTGCCCCACATCCACCTTTCGGTGCCTGAGAATGCACCTGTGAACACCCGCCTGGCAATTGAGCACCCTGCCCTTGACCCTGACGTGGGCACCAATGGCGTCCAGACCTACCGTCTGCGAGATAACTACGGCGTCTTCACCCTGGATGTGGAGGAGAATGAGAGCGGGGAGAGGACTCCCTACCTGATTGTTATGGGAGCTCTGGACAGGGAGACGCGGGAGGAGTATGTCACAGTCATAATCGCTGAGGATGGGGGTACTCCTCCGCTTGTGGGCAGTGCCACCCTCACTATTGGCATCAGCGACGTCAATGACAACTGCCCCCAGTTCAGCGACTCGCAGCTCAACGTCACCCTTTATGGGAATTCCAGCCTAGGGACACATGTGGCCACTGTGCATGCGGTAGACATGGACCTCGGATCCAACGCCCAGATCACCTACTCCTATAGCCAGAAAGTACCCCAGCCATCCAGAGACTTGTTCCTTCTGGACGAAAGCACAGGAGCCATCACGCTCTCCAGTAAAGTTGATGGGGACACTCCAAGGCTCCACAGGCTGATCATATTGGGCAATGGTCCTGGCTGTATCCCTGCTGTGATCACAGTGCTTGTGACCATCATCAAAGTCATGACGAGGCCACCTGAAGTTGTCCCTCGTTTCATAGCTAATGAAGTGAAAGGGGTGGTGTACTTAAAGGAACTGGAGCCTATCAACACACCGATAGCATTTTTTACCATCAAGGATCCTGATGAAAAATACAAAGTCAGTTGCCATTTGGATGGTGATGGGCCTTTCAGACTTACACCGTACAAGCCATACAACAATGAATACTTGTTAGAGACCACAAAGCCTTTGGACTATGAGACACAGCAGCTGTATGAAATCTCTGTAGTTGCATGGAACTCAGAAGGGTTTCATGTCAACAAAATAATCAAAGTACAGGTTCTGGATGACAATGACAACTCGCCAGTTTTCTCTCAACAGCTGATAGAATTATCAATTGAGGAGAACAATGTTCCTAATGCTTTCTTGACCAAACTGTACGCTACTGATGCTGACAGTGGAGAAAGAGGGCAAGTGTCCTATTTCTTAGGCCCTGATGCCCCTTCCTATTTTGCTTTAGATAAAACCACAGGAGTTCTTACAGTTTCCACCCAGCTGGACAGAGAAGAAAAAGAGAAATACAGATACACTGTCAAAGCAGTGGATTCTGGGTTCCCTCCAAGAGAATCAATAGCAACTGTCACCATTACTGTGTTAGATAAAAATGATAATAGTCCAAGATTTATCAATAAGGATTTCAGCTTTTTTGTGCCAGAAAACTTTCCAGGTTTTGGTGAAATTGGAGTTATAAGTGTCACAGATGCTGATGCAGGGCAAAATGGATGGGTTGCCCTTTCAGTTCTGAATGGAAGTGATATTTTTGTCATAGATACTGGAAAGGGAGTTTTGAGGGCTAAAGTCTCCTTGGATAGAGAGCAGCAGAGCTCCTACGTTCTGTGGATCGAAGCAGTTGATGGTGGTGATCCTGCCCTGTCTTCTACAGCAAAAATAACTATCCTTCTTCTGGACATAAATGACAACCCTCCTTTGGTCTTGTTTCCTCAATCTAATATGTCTTATTTGTTGGTCCTCCCTTCTACCCTTCCTGGCTCTCCTATCACTGAAGTCTATGCTGTCGATAAGGACACTGGCATGAATGCAGTCATAGCTTACAGCATCATAGGAAGAAGAGGCCCTCGACCGGAGTCATTTAGGATCGACCCTAAAACTGGTAATATCACCTTGGAAGAGTCACTGATGCAAAATGACTATGGCCTCTATCGGCTGCTTGTGAAAGTTAGTGATCACGGCTATCCAGAACCTCTCCATTCCACCGTCATGGTGAACCTCTTTGTCAATGACACTGTTAGCAATGAGAGCTACATTGAAAGTTTGTTAAGAAAAGAACCTGATATCAGTATAGAAGAAAAGCAGCCACAAATATCCATAGAGCCTACACATAAAAGAATGGAGTCAGCATCCTGCATGCCTACCTTGGTAGCTCTGTCAATAATAAGCTTGGGTTCTATCACTTTAGTAACAGGGATGGGCATTTACATCTGTCTAAGGAAAGGGAAAAAGCATCACAGAGCCGATGAAAACTTGGAAGTACAGATCCCATTAAATGGAAGAATTAGCCTGCACATGTTGGAGAAGAAACCAGTGGAGATTTCTAACATTTGACTTTTCTTTGTGGATAAATCAAACATCTGAAAACCCTTGGACAGCTCTGAAACACCTGCCCGTGTGTTGTATTGACAGAGGTTGCGATGAAGGATCGCTAATTTATAACTTAATAATATTATAATTGTAAATAGCTGTTTACAGTTTTTTAAATTCAAATTCAGTGTACAGCTTTTTTATGAAACCTTAATAACTAACAGCTAGCACCCTGTCTATAAAAACATGGACATTATTTGCAGTTTTCATAAATCGGTAAGATCAGTAATCATAAAAAGGGGAAGTTAAGAGGAGTCTTTAAAGTCAAGTTTTAAAAGTCTTTTTAGCCACAAGAGGGCATCAGATGCTCCTGAGCAGGGAACTGTTCGAGGTACTGTCCGTGAGATGAACACAGAGTATATTTTAAATATATTGGTTTTAATATAAAACACACATTGGCAACACAGACATTTAATCACACACACACGCAAAAAAAAAAAAAAAGAAATGTCTGTCCTCATGTAAGTATAATTAAAAGAATAAAGATATTAAAATGCACTAGTATTAAAAAAAAAAAGAAAAAAGAGAAAAACCAGAATGTTTATTACCTCACAAATAAAGCTTATACAGTAGGATAGAAAAGGCATTAACAAGAAGTGCAATTCCTGTTGAGCAAGAATGCAAGATATTGTAATGAGAATCTGAACTGCTGTGACATATCATCTTTCATTTGCTCCAGATTTCACCCATATTATCATTTGCTCCAGCAATCTACTGGTCATTTTTAATGGAGGAATTATATTTAATATTTCCTACAGCAAATAATGACATACTCATCCTCGTAAACATGCCAGATGCAAGGAAGCAAGGGAATGGCTAAATCTTTAGTTGTCACAGAAGTGGTGATGTTTTTTGTACTTTGAGCAATCTTTCAGTAGTATTCCATCAGTTTGGTTGTGTAATAGATTTTTTCATGTGATACTTCTGAATCTGATCTGCCAGATGAAAACAAAAATTGCTTCATATTCTATAGAATTACAGGACTTGGTTTATTCTGACTATTTCTCCTTTCTGGACTGGTATTTCATGTGAAAGATCTTGTTTCTGACTTTTGGCAACCATTCCTGGCTCCTTTTCATTGGCTTTGATTTTGGATTAGATCCAAAATCTAACTTGTAAGGCTGGCAGCATATTTTCTTGATAATTTATTCTTTGCTGTATCCTCTGCAACAAAGCAGCAGGTTTTTCAGTGATGTATCACTTTCACTTCATTTTAAGAGCTGAGAACTATCTTTTGTATGATGATTACATCAAGTTTCTGTGTGAACAGGATAAACTAGTGTTATGCTTAAAACTGATTATTTTGATTTCTGGCATCATATGTCTGTAATGTACCAAAAGTGTTTATATGTCTGCAAATTAAAGCTATATATTTTCATAATAACTTATTCTCCATCTCTCTCCTAGAATTTTAATTGTAAAGCTAAATATTATTTTAGATATAAGAAATACCTATTTCACAAATGCTTGGGTGCTGTCTTGTCTGATGTGTCATAATACTTCCCCAAATTAGAACACCTCAGAATCATTAATAAGAGTTTATGCTGCACTTCTTGAGATTACTGAAAAAGGCAATTGTATTTCAATGGATGGAAGTGGAGCAGCAGCTGATACCTGCTTTAAAAGCAGGGAATAAAATTTGAGGCAGTTTTTTATTTTTCTCTATGTGACTGGTGCATTACTTCACCTTGAGCCTATTGAAATGTTGGAGCTTCTTAGAGACATTGGTTCTGCTTAGCCTAAGTAAAAATATTAAAATAATGCCCAGCTTTTGCCACACTACCTATAAGAAATAGCTATTTTTTCAGGCTAGAGTATTTTCTGTTTATACATGGTTTGCCACAGTTTGATAGCAGTGTTTCATGAAAATTTAATTCAGCCCATCAGAGGTTTGTGGTTAATCACCATTTTTCATTTATTTTCATATTATTAAAATATGAAAATGGTATGTATGCCTGAAATATGTTTGTCACAGAGACTTTGTTTATTATCTCTGAAGAAAAATTACATTAATTCTTCAGAAATGGCTTCAGTATTATAGATGCTTTCTGTTGCTGTGGGGGGGAAGCCAGATCCTCTGCATTTTTTTTCTTTTAGTAAGGAGGGAAGGTAACTGAAAGACAGGATTCTTTTCATTGCTCTTCTCTTACTTGAATTAGCAGTCCAATATCTTCGCAACACAATTTAAACAGGAGCAAACCCAAGACTTAAGGAATACAATAAAACAGTAAATCTGATCCTTCAGGGTATGTTCATGTGACACTGGGCAGATATTTGTATTCAGGTTTAGCAAATGCAGTCTTGAATCTTTTTGATTTAGCTTACTGAGTTTAAATGTGCTGTTCTTGTTGCTTTTTTGTTTAGTTCAAGCATGTTCTTAATGCATAAAAAAATGTAATGGTATGAGCCTGATAAAGCCAAAGTACTGCTCATGAAGCATTTTGCACACAATTTTCTACACGTTTAAAGAAAACTGGTTTGAAAGCACACCTTCAGCTTTACCAGCACCACTACTTGTGAAAACAACGTTACCCTGAATAATAATTCATAGAATAAGAGCACATTTTTCCCTTCCTGTGAGTAGCCTATGGGTAGGTAATGCCTCAAAGCATGGGAAAATATACAGAATGAGTTGTTCTTTTTAATTCCATATTTTTTGTTACTTAAAAAACATTCAGCTGATAGCAGCAAGTAGTAAGCATGATATTTAGGCCTGAAATATTAAACCTAACAGTAATTAAAAAAAAAAAAGGAAAAAACTCCCTAAAATTACGAACTTTAAATTCATAGAACAGGGGAATTTCTTATTGAAAAAAAAAGCTTTCTCAGTGGAAAAATGCTTGATACTGATTACAGAGCAAACATTTCTGTGACGTTGCTGTTTCCAAAGTATCCCTTACTGAAATCCCTTTCATGTGAAAACACATTTTAATGAGTAAAACTAAAGTAAATTAGACTCAGATATAAAAGGCCTATTTTATTACCACCTTGTGTGGTGCATTTGCCAAAATATATGCAAATCTTGTCGACACTGGTAGTTGAGCTGGCACAAAAATAAATGTCTCATTCATTTACAGTATCCATTGAACAATCTTAGAGTGAGTGGGTGCTCTTTGTTCATTTTTATAAAAAATGAGATTGTCCTGAGCTTTGTGTTGCCGAAGCCTCCTAAACTTGCCATGCAAAACACTTTTTCATCAGAATTAACAAATTAAAAAATAAGAGACAAGAAATGGGCAGCGAGCCCAGTGGCAATGGATGAAGAAAATCAGTTCAGTCTTCTCTTTCTGTTTCATTTTATTCTTCTTAAAAGAACTCTTTGAAGTTACCATTTTGATGCAAAATTAACCTAACACCTGGATGTATGTCAATAAAGGCTGAGATCTGAAATTGTGGAATGGGAATTGGAGCACATTACTTTTTATTATGTCAAAACTCAGAAAACACTTAATCTTGTGGCCTTTTAAGTAAATTTTTCAGTACCGAGATTCAAATATGCAACTGTACCACAGTGCACTAAGGACAATGTAAAAAGCTCCCACTATCTTAATATGACATCCACTGAGAGGTACCGTGTTAGAGCAAAACTTGGCCTCCCTGCAATCAGTGACAAACCCCTGACTGCTGTTAGTGGCTTCATTGTAAATTTTCTGCCCCTAGCTGCTCTTTTGGGAAGGCTTCATTAAAATACTTAAACATACGAAAAGGATGGGTAATCTATGACTAGCATTTCATCTCCTGGTTCAAAGCAATGAACTCTCAGGGAGCAGTGGCCTCCATGACAAAATACTTTGCAGTCTGGCATAAGTGGAGATAGACAGCATCTCTGCCACAAAGAAGACATCAGCTAAATATGCAGACTGTTTCTTTTCATGATTCAGGTGTATTATAAGAGCCATGCAGGAAGCTGATTGCCACCTTCCCTGGTGCTTGTCACCAGCTTCTGACAGCCATTGGTTTGTATGTACATTCCTCCTCACTCTTTTAATTTACAGGGAAAATCAAATCAAAATAATTGATTATGAAATGTTAGCCAGCTGAAATGCAAAACTCTGATTTAGATCACTCTCCTTCAGAGCTGGGTTTGAAAAGTTGAGCATATTCCTCTTCCTTACCAAAATAATTTTATAATAAGGGATATGTCTAGTGAAATTTTAAGTGGAAATAAAGAAATTCATCACCCCTACTTCCTACAGAGTAGGGTTTTATACTTTTTATATGCATAATAGTTGCTCAGAGAGATAAAAATTGCAGGTATTAGTTTTATGCTTCATATTAATATTGTGGGAAATGTTCTGAGGAAGCTATGTGGAAGTGTCTAACTTACAGGTTCCTAACATGTTTCTCAGAGTTAGGAAATCTCAAGTTATTGGCAAATTGTAACAATTTGCAGTTTTGTAAGTTAAAGCATGTGCAAAAAATACCTGTGCAGGCAGTGTTGTTGTTGTCTTTTCAGTCTCTGTACCAGACTGAACCAGCAGATAAGATGGCAAAACTGCCATCTGAATTCTGAGATGGAGAGATTCAAAGATTTTGGATCACAAATGAATGTAAACAGCTCTGGTTTTCTCATTATGGATGAGAAAAATATCTTCATTCTTATCACTGCATACTCTTTCTAACATGCTATGTACAAATATTTCAGTGATTTCTGCTATATTTCCATTCCAGTTTCATCAGGAAATGAATTTTAAAGGCCAGATTTCAACTCCTAAATATTTCTAACAACAGAGTACTCTGAACAGGTGCTAGGAAAACATCATTCTGAGTGAAGGAATATTGAATAATTTAAGATGCACTCAGTCTTTCATTCCACTGCTTGTGTAAACAAATACATGCCTGAGTGTTCAAGGTGCAGATTTTCATGTTGCTAGCCAGTGCTGCTGGTAGGTAGTAACCCTTTAACTGGAATACATTATATGGGATCACTTAAATTCTGTTCAAATAGAGAGGACTTGCATTTTAAGCATCAAATTGGATGTTGCTCTACTCCATGCAACCCCAGCTGCATGTGGATTCAGTCTTCTTTTCCTAACTATTATGTTGTATTTTCCATCTTTGAAATTTTGGTTAAATATTCATCTTTAGAGCAACAGAGTGAGGTGAGAACTCTTACCTCTTTACGCACTAGGCTGAGATGCCTTAAGGTGTCCTACCTGGCCTCCAGCTGCAAGTCTGGAAGAGTGCAAGGCTATCCATCAATGAGCTATCATCTCTGCCAGCCCAGTGTGGATGCTTTGAATATTTTAGGGCAGGTTCACTGAACACCTGTGTGTGTTGAAGTGAATCTTTGATGTGTTTCAGCTTCTAGATTTAAACATCTACGCTGAGATATGTACGGACAGGTATTGACCAGTGGACTAGGAGTCTAAGCTTCCACTGTAGTCTTAAGAGTTTCATCAGTGTGGTCAAGAGAATTAGAGTGCTTCGGATTGCACTAAGGT